CCGTGGGCATTGGTCGCTCTTGCTGTTGCTGCTGTTGCTGTTGTTGCTGCTGCTGTTGTTGTTGCTGCTGCTGCGGCCCTTGCCACTGCTGCAATAAACGTCAAAATGCGGCCCATTGCTGTCCATTTCATCAACGTGTGAAATAAATCACTCAAAGTGCTGCAGATCCATTAAGGGCAGCCGCAGCAGCAGCAACAGCAACAGCAACAGCGGCAGCAGCAACATCAGAAGCAGCAGCAATGAGCCCAACTCGACTGAGCCGCTGTCGTCGTCGTCGTCGTCGCCGCGTTGCCTTTGTGGTAAATACATTTTTAGCATTTTGTCTGCTGATACCTTTGGGTGTTGTACATGGCAGCGACGACGTCGTATGATGACGATGTCGACGGCTGCTGCAACAATAAAGACTGCATGCCACTGGCCACGCTTGTTCTTTTTTTGTTTTTCCTCCTCGGCCATCAATTGCATGTTGTTCACCTTTTGCAATTTCAGTCCTTTCCTTGCATTCTGACTGTTTCTCCGACTTGGACTTTCCTTTTGGGTTTTCGCTTTTCGGCGTGCTACGCGCCGCGCAAACATGCAAAAATCCAAATTATATTTTATTACTTAAATTCAATTAACGGCGGACTGGAAGAGCACTCGAAATCAAAATTACAAGAGCCTGCTTGCGCTTTCATTGCGTTCTCAGCGCGATGCAGCTGTGAGTGGAGTGCACTAAACCCAGATTCCGATTCCGAATCCCACTCTGGATCGGAGTTGCAAGTTCTCTGGGGCAACAGTAACGAAAGCGAGGCTTGCCATTAATTCAAGGCAGGCCTCAAAACAAGTGGCTGCCACTGCGAAGTCGGCAGGCGTAGGTAAACAGAAAGTTGATTGAAAGTTTCAGCCGGTGCAGCTGGAAAATGAAAACGGCAGAGGAAGTAAGAATCTGTGGGAGCGAAAATAATAGATTTGGCTCATTTAAATGCAGAAATATGCAAGAAAGCTTAGGAATATAAGAAAACTAAAACTAGAAAAGTTCACCCATGTAGAAATTGAAGCAGAATTTACTTCTTCAAAAATTGGTTTTTTAAATATATCTATCTTAATCAAATAAAACAAAGGTGTTTCAAAAAATTATATAAGTTTAAAAATGTTTCCAAGTCCAGAGCACAGAGAAAAATGAAGGCCTTTAATGAGATCAAAATATTTTGAAAAGTAAAATATTTAAGGCTACTATGTATCCATAAAACTCTTTCTCGTTAATTACGCTAGGTTAAGTTCAGAAGGCACTGAACAGATTCCAATGAATAAAAATAAAAAAAAATATAAATAAAAAACAAGAGAGAACGCTATAGTCGGGTGCCCCGACTATCAGATACCCGTTACTCAGGTAAAGGGAGTGCGAGGGAGATGGAGATAGAAACTTTGATCACGCATAACTTTTTAACGAATGGTCCGATTTGAAAAATTTCTTCTACATTTCGATAGGTATTTATAAACACAATAAAACTGCATTTTTACTTTTCCGAAATATTTAAATTTATCGTATATAAGCGATTGTGGGCGTTAAAGGGGGCGTGGCACCTTTTTGAAACAAACTTGCGCTGCGTAGGAACTCCTAGAATCTGCATGCAAAATGCCAATCTTCTAGCTTTTATAGTTTCCGAGATCTCAGCGTTCATACGGACAGACAGACGGACAGACGGACAGACGGACATGGCTATATCGACTCGGCTAGTGACCCTGATCAAGAATATATATACTTTATAGGGTCGGAAACGCTTCCTTCTAGCTGTTACATACTTTTGCACGAATACAATATACCCTTTTACTCTACGAGTAACGGGTATAAAAAGAAAAGTAAAACAAACGAGGACGGAAGCTAACTTCGGCAAGCCGAAGTTTTAATACCCTTGCAGACTTTGACGAAACTGCTAAAAGTGAAAAAGTAGCGAAAGGAATAAGGTATACATAAGTAAACTAGATTTGCATCGTTTCAAGTCAATTGCTTTTATACTGCAAAAATGTCATATACAAATAGAAAAAAAGGGATACTTTCGCAGCCTTTAACAATTTTTCCTATCTCCTTTAAGATATAGACTTCCGAGCGGCAAGCGCTTTTACCCTAATCAAGATATGCGTAAATAAATAAGAATTTGAAAATTTTATGTTAGTAGCTTACACACTGCGCGAAATATTCTGATAATCATCAAATTTGGACCGATTTCACCCTATTGTTCCTATGGGAGCTATAGGATATAGACGTCCGATCGCCAAGCGCTTTCACCTTGATCAATGTATGCATAAAAAAATAGGATTTGGAAAGATTCATGTCAATAACTTGTATACTGCGTGAAATATCCTAAAAATCATTAAATTTTAACCGATTTTACCCTTTTGTTCCTATGGGAGCTATAGGAGCTATAGACGTCCGATCGTCACGCGCTTTTACTCTGATCAAGGTACGCATAAAAAAATAAGATTTGGAAAGATTTATGTCAATAGCTTTTACACTGCGCGAAATATCTTCCATTCTTGCAAGTTATATCCGATTGTTCCTATGGGAGCTATAGGATATAGACATCCGATCGGGGCGGTTTTCAAACTTGATCTGCGTAGACTTGTTTTAGGACGACTGTGAAAGTTTCAGATCGCTAGCTTTTAAACTGAGCTCGCAAACGGTATTGAAACAGACGGACAGACGGACGGACGGACAGACGGACGGACGGACAGACGGACAGACCGACATGGCTATATCGACTCCCCTATTGATCCTGATCAAGAATATATATACTTTATGGGGTCGGAAACGTCTCCTTCACTGCGTTACAAACTTCTGACCAAAATTATAATACCCTCTGCAAGGGTATAAAAATCATTAAAATTGAACTTTGAAAGCCAATTGCATAATTAATTAATAAAATAAAGTATTTCTTATAATAAAACCACATTTATCAAGAAATTTTTCTTGTTAACTAACTTAAGAAAACAAAGCCCCAACAGTCAATTAGAGAGGCAATACATTGTCGTTATAATTAATTCATAATATCTCAATTGTGAAAACAACCTCTGGCTGATATCAATCAAGGTGCACAAATACACGATTCCTGCCACCACCCACCACCCACTCATTAGGAAAGCCCCCTGGGGTCGTAAATACATATTTTATTCCTTTGCAAATTGCCTAGGGGGGCTTGTACTTTCTGGCCATTGTCATAAAATGCAACTAATTGCTTTAATTTGCACCACACACTTACTTCACGCACACTTGTAACAACAGGCAATCATTGATGCATATAAATCTTATAGAAACTCTTTCTACTTAATTAGTTTTAATGTCGCACAAACAAAAGAGCATAACTAACAATTAAGCCGCTGGTACTCATAAACTCATAAACTCGAATACGCAACTATATGTGCATATTGTGTGGCTTCGGATATATTTTGCAAGCGAGTGTGGAGCATAAATCTTAATTACGCTTCGTCGAGCGTAAATCATCATCAGTATCCAGATCCCCAGTCTCAGTTTTTTGGCCTCAGAAAGGCAGGCCGAATTGATTCATGCGCGAAGGCTGAAGCTCGTTCTCCAGAAAGGCTCCGCCAAACTTTGACAATTTGTTCGGCACTTTTTGCGTTTTTTACGACCCCCGGTTTCCAGACTGACTGACTACTGCCAGATTTTCCGCCATACTTAGCTTGGTTTTTAAATCTAATTCCGGGAATCCTTAAGTCTGGTTATGACTACTACAAGATTTACAGTTTGATTGTAGGGTCATTGGATGATGACATGAAACCGAATCTTATATCTGCACTCAGCAGTTAGCATCCTTTTACAACTCTGACAATCAGGTTCGCCGGTCGGCGCAATTCAAAAACGAAATTTTTACAAGTTGTAAAGATTAAAAGTCCATTAGGCTGGCCGCAGCAGTCACAGTGGAAGCCGCACGTATAACTTGTTTGGGCCATCCCAGCATCCATTTAAATGCGCGCAATGCAATCACTCAAATTGGCCAAAGCGCCAGAACGTGCAGATGGCAAAATGTGAAGTGAGGGGGGATTACATGAAATATTTTAATCCATAAGATGCAGTTAAGTGCATCCATCAGCGCGTATTTAGAATTTAATAAATACGGAAGCGAGAACACGACTCCGAACACGACTCCCTCCTCCCAGCAAATGCATTTCGAAAGGTATTTTAATTTATTTAAATTTCTAGCCTCTCTCGCACATAACCAACTGCAATTTGGAGTCCAAGTGGCAGTGGCAAGGAGGCGAGTGGCGAGTGGCGCAGCACACGACTCTCCGCCAGGTAAGAAAAGTGAACATCCATTAGTTGTGCTAATGATGCGCAACCCACTTTGCCGCGTTCCGCCCCAAGTAGAACTCCAGTCCAGATGCAGCCGAAACCACAGCCAAAAGCCAGTGTCCTCTGCCGACGACTTAGCCGGCTACTTTGGAACGCATTTGGCCAGTTCGCTTGGTTAGCTCCGCTCGCCTGTGTGCGATGGCTAATATAAGTGGCCAGGAAAGGGAGTGGAAGTCGCTGCGAAAGAGATTTGCTTAGTGAAATAGTCAGAATAGCAAATGTGGAGAGTGCTAAGCACATCCCGTTAACGAGCGTATTTTTAGGGACTTTATTGAACTGCACTTGCACTTGCACTTGCACCACATTAGGGTTCTAAAACAAGAACTGCATTTCAATTAGAAATGTCGAGGGCAAAATTGTTTTTATTTTATATCTTTAGGAATATAGGAACTGGAAAAGAATTAAATATGCATTTTTCTTACTGAGTATGAAATCTCAGTAAATTAAGATCCTGAAATAGCAATTGTTTCCATTAAGGGGGTTTTTTTTACATCAAGGCAATCTAAACGTGAATTATATTTCAATTTATATATTTAATATTCATAATTTGTATCCTTGGTAAAACAGGGAAAAACTAGTTTAAAAACCCTTTAATTAAAATTGGGAATTAAGTTAGGTAATTCAAACAATTTCAATTTTATTATTTCGATTTAAGTTGAAAAGGCAAAAATCTGACATTGAATCAGAATTAAATTTTTGTTACTATGCTTTCAAATTGCATTAAGTACAAATAATACAAACTTTAATGGTAGAATATTTTGAGGAATTTATAAAGCTCTGCCTTCACTTTTACAGATACACCTGGAAAGTTAAATAAATACCACATAAGATTTAAGCTGGTAAAGAGTTGTTAAGGTTATTTACCATCAATTGATTCAAGTAGAACTCATAGGGAATGTGTCCGCTGATTGGATCTATGGCCACTGGCCACATCTCATCCATTTCCTCCTGGGTGAAGGGCTCCCCCTCCTCCATCATTAGTTTTCCAAAGCTCTCCTTGGTAAGATATCCCTTGTTTTCAGGATCCAGTATCTTAAATGCCTGCAGAATTTTCTCCGGTGGAGCAGGCTCCATTCTGTCGAATGAATTATATTTAAATAAAAGTTAAAGGTATATACAAGATGAACTTTTACTCACTTTCGTTCCATGAGCAATTGCGAGACATGTGGCAAGAACTTGGTCAAATGCACTTCGCCACTGGTCTCCTCCGATTCTGTGGCAGAGATTACTTCATTCACTTCCTCCTCGGTGGGCACACAACCCAAAAGTCTGAGAACAGTGCCCACTTCTCGCACATCTATGAACTTTTCGCCATGATGATCAAACACACAGAAGGCATCCGAAATGCGTTTCTCAAGGTCGTTGTTAACTGAAAATGGTTTATTGTATTAATAATACTACGCAATTTATTTTAAATATTAAGCTTCTTACAATCCATATCCATGTTACAGGCTTAAGTTTTTCTTTTCAACTGAGAAAAGTTGAGGGTGTTAGATATTTAATCAATATATCAGTAAAACAAAGCTCGTTGCTAGGGGTGATTTGGAAAGAAGAGAGAATGTTCTCCTTTTTCATGAGCGTTTTTCAGCACCTATTTGTTATGGCTTTCTTTAGTTTCTTTTTATTTCCAGAAAATAACTTGAACTAGTCGTTTTCGTTTTGGATCGACTAGATCCAAATCCACACAAGGCGAGGCGGGCCCATAATGCCACAGTAAAAACCACCATAGAGCGGCCCATTAGGCAGCTCATGGAGGCCATCATATTGGCCCATTACCATTTCGCCGATCCACCGGCTGTCTGGTAAGGAACACGGAAGTTTTTCTTGCCATACTGGGTGCTTGGCCAGCAGCAACAAGTGCATTTTCGGAGCTGTGCCCACTTTAATGGAAATTACTGCAGAGCTTGCCATTAATTTTGCCGCACATTTGTCTGGCCATCTCCAAGCTGCAGTTTCAGTTTGAGGCCCGGCTCTCAACGCATTCGATTCGATTAAAAAATGGCAAAGGCAAGTACGAGAACTGCTCCATTCACGCTAATGCGTGTCGTGTACAACACGCTTGCCACTTGAGCTGTTTGCCGCATCTCCTAGATGCCCTGCCCCAGTCCTAGCCAACCTGCCCCTGCCCCTGCCCCATGCAGCTCCCATCAGCACCATCGAATCCACGTACACACTTGCCTATCTGCCGCCATCTCCTTTGCCGGGCCTCTGGACCTCGACTTGGGCCTGGATCTGCACTTGGGCCCGGGCTACTGCCATAAACACTAAAAGTGTTCGTCATTTGCTGTTCCAGATCCAATTAACCATTTTGATGCATTTGCCTCCATTAACTTTTTCTCTCTTTCGCTCTCTCGGGCCCTTTTTTCCAGGGCTCGGTACCAATCTGTTGCACTGGAAGAAAATGCTCTCCATATTTAAACATTTTACTTTTGATTAAGTTCTAGTTTTGTACGATTAGTATGATTTGAATAGATTTCCATATATTTTGAATTGATTTTTAATATTTAGTAACGGAAAATATCAAAACATTTGAAAATAAATGTATTCAATATATCATAAGATTTATACTGGCAAGCCATCTTAATTTAATATCAATTTAATTTAATTTTATTTCTTGCAGTTAATTAAGATGTTACAAAAATTTATTTCAAATGTTGGTATTAGGTCCATAAATCAGCTTATTATGCCACAGTGAACGAGTTCATAACACACCTTTGATCAATGATTTATATATTTATTTAATTTGAGTAAGTTTTTCCAACTTTAGTAAGGGTCGGTTTAGATTTGAAATAGAGCTGAAAAGAAACAAAAACAAGAGAGAACGCTATAGTCGGGTGCCCCTACTATCAGATACCCGTTACTCAGGTAAAGGGAGTGCGAGGGAGATGGAGATAGAAACTTTGATCACGCATAACTTTTTAACGAATGGTCCGATTTGAAAAATTTCTTCTACATTTCAATAGGTATTGATAAACACAATAAAACTGCATTTTTACTTTTCCGAAATATTTAAATTTTTAAAATCGTATATAAGCGATTGTGGGCGTTTAAGGGGGCGTGGTACCTTTTTGAAACAAACTTGCGCTGCGTAGGAACTCCTAGAATCTGCATGCAAAATGCCAATCTTCTAGCTTTTATAGTTTCCGAGATCTCAGCGTTCATACGGACGGACAGACGGACAGACGGACATGGCTATATCGACTCGGCTAGTGACCCTGATCAAGAATATATATACTTTATAGGGTCGGAAACGCTTCCTTCTAGCTGTTACATACTTTTGCACGAATACAATATACCCTTTTACTCTACGAGTAACGGGTATAAATACTTCAAGGTACATATGTTTTAGAAATCAGCCACTTTTTTAATGCAAATAGCAATTTTGTTATATCTTTTAGAGTTTTTGAACATAAATTTCAAATTTATATTAAAAACTCTTAAAATCGATCATCATATCATAGGTAGAAACTTTTCTTTCTGTGTCCAATTTCGCTGCTGACTTACAACGTGATCGGAAGTTTGTCTTAGCCATCTCCAGCATACCATGCCAAACCATACCAAACCAAACCATACCATATACCCGGCTATATCTGACGACGTGTCCGTGACTCGCAGAGGCTCATACGAGTAGGGATTGGAGATGGGGCTGTGGCTATGGCTGCTGCAAAGTACTTTGTAAATGTTGGCATGATTTAAGTCGGCTCTTAGTCTCTTTATTCTGACATTTACCCCAGGTTTGTCTATTAGGCATGCGATTAAAATTTAAATTGAAGTCGCGCAGACTCCGCTGCGGGATTGGGTTTCAGTATGGGTCTGGCTGTTCTGTGGTGATTCTTTTATAAAACTAGAAAGAACCAGCCACGCCCATTGCAATCTCGGTCCGCCAGTTCCGGTTACTGCCCTGAGTTCTGCTCATCTGTCAATTTCGACACCTGTGGCTGACAGTTCGGGGACTTTAGACAGGGTACATGGGAAGTGCTTCCTGCCGAGGAAATTACCTTGCCTCTCAAGGAAAGAACTCTATTTGCATAAAAATGAGACAGCGATCGGCTTGCTTATATGCAATTAAATCAGCACTAATCTATTACTTCAAAGATATTTTACAACCAATCCTAAAACCCTTCTCTTCGCGCAATAGGCAATCATATATATTAAGGTCACATCCACTCGAATCGATTGCCCTTTCCAGACGCCAATCGAAAATGCCATTTTCCATTAATAAACAATTATTATTATGATTTCCTATTTACTTTTTTTGCATTTAATGCTCATTACAATGCCTGCGTATGTAGACTGGAGTAATTAAATGGAATTTAATAAACATAAACATCCGAATAATGAATGCTACCTTTCACAGCACCAGCAGCACTGACAGTAAGCGGAAAACTCCGGACAAAAGGCGGCCCAGAAACTTTTGTTGAATTAATTAGAGTAAAAAGGCAGCCATACAGCAGCAGCAGCTTCAGCTACCTTTGTATTCACATGCTTTTAAACGATACGTAAAAAGAATTCAATTCAGGCGAAGTGATATGAAAGAATTGATTAATAATCATAGCTAAAACCACAAAAGACCAACCCAGGGGCTTGATCTGCCCCTCGTCCCCCAATCCCAGTGTCTGCTCACCCAAATGCTCGGCTACTGGCAAAAGCCGGCCACAAAAGCGCTGACGCCATGGTCCCACTCTCGGCTCACATCAAGGCCAATTGGGCTGGCTCCGAGTTCCGAGCTCCAAACTCCAAGCTCCAAGCTCCAACGGATCCATGCTTACACACGAAAAATTAAGTCATTTTCCTAGTGATATTTGTAGATAAGAGATTTACATTTAATCTTATTTAACTCGTTAGTTTATAATCCAAAATAAGATTAAAACTAGATATAACAAAATATCTATTTTTGCTTGCTCAATGTCATGGTTGTTATTAATTTTTATCAATATTATATTACTATTAATATTATCAATATTAAAAGCTGATGAGTCTGAGTTGACGTGCAGAAGAAACTAGTTCTATCTAAGTCTAATTCTCTATTTAGTTAGCATAATAAAAATCTAATTAAAAAGTGCTTAGAAAACCAAGCCAAAAAGAACATTTTTATTGATACATTATTTAAAATTACAAATATATTACACTTCCTTTAACAAAAATAATACCTATTGAATAATACTCGGATACTGATCCAAGTTTACCTATATTTTGTTTTTTCTTTTCAAAGACCCGTTCGGAAATGTTGAGTCTTTTATATCTTTTGTAATTCTCACTCACCTGACCAAAAATTACAAAAATATTTTCCTGTGCAGAGCTTCAATTGTAGGCCCGAACCGAGTACACATGTTGCTAGTTGCTGCCGTGCTCCATATTCTGGAAACTCTGAGCTCGGGACTTGACTTTGATTCAATTTCCATATGAAAACATCGATTTGCGTTTGTGCGCCCGCGTCGTCGTAATCAAAGTGTTGTTTATGGAACACGTCCGGCGTGTTTTGCTCTTTTTTTTTATAATTTTTTTTTTGTATTTTCTGGTTGCCGTTGCCTGACTTGTTGTTGCTGCCTCGTTGGCTGACTATAAAAAATTGCTCACGGCAACAATTGCGCGCGTCGGCTGAAAAATATGTAGCAACGATTACATTTGCCTATTGCATGAAGGGGCCGAAGTCAAAGCCAAAGCCAAAGCTGAAGCCAGGCTAAAAGCAAACGAGTCGGTCCGAGTGCAAGTCCAAGTCCCGAGTTATGATTGAGTTCTAATGAGTTGAGAAAAATGTATCAAGGAAAACCAGTTCCCGGAATCGCAATTAGATAAGTGGGCTTATTCATGCCACAAACGTGAACTGCAAGAAAGCGCAGCGCAAAGTCGCAACAACGAGAGTCGGATCGAATTGAATTGAATGGAGTGGAGTGTAGAGGATGGGGAGTCGGGAAATGGAAATTGTTTCCATCGAATGGGCTTACAAATGTGTAGCACATTTTATATAATAAGGCGTTACAAATATTTTTCAATTTCATTTATTTTTTTGGTGGGCAAGAAGAAAAATAACCATGTTCAGGTGAAAAACTAGTTTGACTGGATGGCAGTAGGGGCATTGGACATAGGATATGCAAATTGGAAATTATCGAGAATATACTACGTATAATGACAGTGCTATGTGGCCATAATCGAATAAAGTCATTAGGCCGTCAGGTAATAAAACCGTATACATTAGGGTTCCGTACTTGCACTAGAACTGCGACCTTATAAATATTTAAGTTTATTCGATTTTTTCCTTAATTCATGGATATTAGAAAGCATTAAAATATTGTTGTTCTTCGGTTCGTAAATAGCTTATACCCTAAGTTTTCCCATTGACCAGCATTAGTTCCGTTTTATCACCCATTCGACCAGGCATTCATTCACCTTTCAACTCCAGATTCTGCACTAGTTTAGGCCTCGATTGGAAGGCGTGAAATATTAATACGACGAACACGCCTGGTAGCCAAAG